ACGTGGCATAGACACGCTTCATGGTACTTCTGTTGAACAGTTTGCTCTGGAAAAAATGCTTCGCAGTACAAAGCAGCAGAGAGAGAAAGACACTTTGGAAGAGTACCACACCAAACCGTCATTTATCCATTTAACATACTTACACTAAGCCTTTCTCGGATGGCTGCAGGCGCACTCGAATCACTTTTCTGACGTTTCCGCTTTCTTCCCCTCACGTTTCCGCCCAAGTCAACGCCTGCTGCAGCTTCTACGTCCTTGACAAACTCTTTGTCATCTTCTACTTCATTTTTCGATTTACCAGACGTCCTAAAAGCAAACAACCGTAACCGACGAACGAAGGATAGCCGGCACCTCTAAGAACTTTTGAACTAATGCCTTACTGCTTCATTTCGTCTATCGGATAGCCCATCTCATCGCGATCAATAATATTTCCATGCAAAGGGCAACGCCGAAAATCCATACGGGAGCACAGTTCTCCGTTTTTGAGTGGCGCACGGCAGCGCCGAGTAGCCTTTAGTCCCGGACCAACGAATGTAATGACACGAGCACGATAGACTTCTGCCGAGTCGCGACTTGTACAACAGCTGAAAGATCTTATGAACCATGAAATTACGTTAAAGAAAAGTGAGATGAGCAGTTGCAAGCAGAACATTGCTTAATATACCGTACCACGAGAACTAATGTCCTACGACGATGCTTGCAAGCGAAACTTCTCTCTTTGGCTCAAGTTCTGTCTTCCTTCAGTCCTCACACGACTAACTGACAATTCCAAATCATGGTGTAAAATGTTTCATTATACGCTGAAAGGCCAGCAAGCAACTTTGTCAGAAACGGCGCACAGAGCATATTCACCTTTCATCCGAAGGTCGCCAAAATCTGTGGCAGTCAGCGTTGTTTCGAGGTACTTCTGCAGGCACGACATCATCCTCGCCCCAGTACTTGAGATCAAGTCCAAATGATAATATTGGTATCTCACTTTCACCATCTTGTCGCCGGCCAACACCTAAACAGCTTTAGGAAACAGTGCGAAATTTTATCAAATACTAACGCCACGTTCGGTCACCAGCTTGCTTCTAAACAACCTCAGGAAGACGGCGCCGTCAACGGTCCTCCCAAAATGTGGTTCGTCGACTGCTATCACTCGAGCTATTTCCGACTGTCTCGCCTTCTACAGAGAAGAAACACAGCCAGATTTTGAGTCATTTCACTGATTCTACTTTAAAAAAGACTCCTATAAGGGAAACAGAAATAAAAAATCAAGCATGAAATGAAAAGTCTTCCAATTAACAAATAAAGGAGTTCCCGATTTCTAGAAAGTGGAAAAGCAGGCTAATTCTAACCTGGCGCTTTATCGCTCAATTTGTTGATTTTACTGCAGCCAGAAGTGCTTTTACTGCAACCAGGCGCATCAGCTTCATCTTTTTCCAATGTCCTTTCGATTATATACGCCGGCACCTCGTCCGGCACTTTAAAATCGAGTTCTAGTCCTGAACATCAGCATTTGATAACACTTAGTCTGTCATATCCATTTTCCACACCAGAAATACTGACCAAGACGTATTAATTTTTTAAAAACTCTCTGTCTCATGAAGTCTACTTATTACCATTCATTGCAAGCCAGCCAAACTTAGCCATTTCGCATTCAATCCTTACCACTTTACTGCTCATTCCCCTTAGCAGCAATCGCTAGTGAAAGAAGTGACGTCTTTCTCGGTGAAGATATCTCTTCAAGTCTCACCGCTTGCTCCCCCTCCTCTCATCGACGTAATTTGTTATCGTTATTATTATTGTTATTATCATTGTTATTATTATTGTCATTATCATTGTTGTTATCATTATTGTCATTATATTATCGTCATTGTTATTATCATTACTGTTACTATTATTGTTATTATTACTACTACTATTATTATTATTGTTGTTGTTACTATTACTATTATTTCCGACGATGGTGCGAGACAGCCCGGAGGTTTGGCAATTGGTCGGAACACGAACTTTCACGAACCGATCGGAGGGAGAGAGAAGGGGGAAGGTTGGCGGAGGCCCCTCACGTGCCAGGTTTTAGGGCATGAGCGACAGTGTGGAACGATTGGCGCCCCGGAATTTCGACAACGTTTTGTTTTTTTTGTCTCGGCGGTTCTTGCTTCAACGCAGCTTTGGTGTGGGACGATTGTAGCCCCAGGAACTTCGAGAATTCTACTTCGACACGATGGTGGGAGGCGATTGTTACCCCTGGTTTTTGACGAGGCTTGGGGTGGGCAGTTGTTGTTCCTGAATTTCAGCTTGACTATTGTGGGAACAACCACGACACTCCTTCCCAACGACGTTTCTCGACGAATGTTTATCAGCAACGACGGTATACTGGTTACGTCGCGGCCATTTCCTAACAACAGTCTACGAATATCCTGGGTAAGCTTTTGATATTTAACAAAGGTTTCACTAAAACGGAAGCAGTACAGCATAAGGACGCTTGCTCTGACAGTTACGTGAGCATCGCAAATTAGTCGGCACTAAACTGAGAGCGCAAATGAACAATTGGGCGGTTTTCTACAACACGCAGATGGCACTGATGATAAGAAGAGGTTGCACGGCTTGAGGTACTGATAAGCTCTCAGTATCATCCGCTTCAAGCGACTGCATCATTCCATTAGCAGTTCAAAATAAAACAATTATGTGGCTACTAGCAAAACAAAGTGCAGATACTGGAAATTTTTTGAAAAGACGAAAGATGTACAGCTTGCCTTCTTTTTCTGGCACCTCTTCAAAATCATCGCCCTCTAAATCACCTTCCGAAAGTCGTCTTTTATTTGGAAGCTGCAGTTCCCGACACCTGAATGCAGAAAGTTATACAACCCTCGCATTCTTAGAGTTCACCTGATGAGATAATAAAAAGACAAACCTCTCCAATTCCGCTGTTATCTTCCCTTTTAGATCGAGCATTTCTTTGCATAACTCCTGCGCGCTGCGTCCGCCATACTTTGCCAATTTGGAGAGCCAACGACGGACAAGTTTTTCGTAAAAGTTTAACATTTTCACACAGTCACCCAACGAAGCAACAATTACTTCGTTTTCTTCATGCACATCCACCACAGGAGCTTCCAGTGGGACAGTTACAGTTACACAGTCAAGTGCTCCATAGGCATGAACCGTCTGAAAATGAGTGAGATAAAATTTTAGAATGAAACTGAACAAGATTACATGTGTGTTTAGGAAAGGGGAGGGGAGAAAAAGACGCTGAAGTACGAGCGCTAAGGCAAGAAGTATACGAACATATGAAACTAGCAGAGGAACAAACCGGGCTGCCCCGTGTTACCCACGCAGCGTTAAAAGAACACTGGAAAGTCGGCATAATTGCGACAGCCTCGGGGCGGCAAATTGGAACGTTGCCAAAGTTATCAAAGTTGGAACGATGGAAGCAACGAACACTGTCACTGCGAATGCGCTGCATTCTGGTTGTGCTAGTAGCTTCAGCAAGTTCAAATCGCGGGACGAGGAGCTCGACTGCACGTCGCGTTTCATCTATACAGCGTACAACATCCGCCCGACGCTCCAGCAGTTCCGCACGCAATTTCTCCACCACAATCCTACACTTCTCGTCCTCCTTTCGCGATGCTTCTTCGGCACGCCTCCTTTCGATCTAGAACAGAGCAATCATGCACAGTACTCTCGGCCTGCCTCGGCCATTCAAACGGGCTTTGGTGGAAGGGTTTTCTCTCCCGGAAGCAGGGGGCAAGTGGCCTAACCTCAGCAGCCCCAGACAAGCGAGAACCTACTCTACCAGCAGTGTTTAAGCCTGACGAACGTCAAGCGCATCAGCGACAATCGAACGCTCCCGAACCACTTGCTCATCAGTGCAGCGATAAGAAAGATAGTTCTGCTCGAAAAAAAGTTGCACACGAAATGCTACCTGGAGCTGAGCGTTGCTGCGCTCGAAATCGAAAGCTTTTGAAAACTGTAAGTATGGGATGAGGAAATCCAGTTTCGGATAGGCTTCTGAATACTTCTCGTGCCATATCTTCACAAGTTTCAGAGTTTCCACCTTCAGTGTATTGGCTGCTTCCTTCGGAGGCGGAAGAGCATGGTGGAGAGGGTCTGTTTCCGCTGTGTACAGCAAAAAATCCTGAAAAATTTCACAGGCTCGATTTGTCGACAATCGTAGCCTGGCCACAAAAACAAACTACTTCCAAATTCAAAAGCAGTTCGTTGAGGAATGATAGTGGGCACCCATGGCAAACTGTTTAAAAACAAACTTGCACAGAATTGATCAGCTGCACTCGGAAGATATGAGAGCGATCGAAGAGCTCCTTAGATAAGAACAAAACAGCCAGCCGACGCTCGCTGTTGTTTTGCCTGAGATGCTTCAGGAAGTCATCGAAAACAGTGGGGATGATTTCAGCATTGAGCTTCAGGATCCGCTTGAATTCCTTCAACTTATTCTCGTCCAGCGTCTTCTTTGCAAAATCAAACTGCAAAAAAAAGAAACCTCCGTTCAAGCAAGTTATGCAGAGGGGATGGGAGGAGAGAGAGAGAAGGCCATGGCCAAAAAGACTAATGAACCAAAATGCATGGAAAAGGGGAAGCTTACGGTGGTGATTAGCTTTGCCAGAATTCTTCGGCATGCAAACAACGCTGCGGAATGCTCGACCTGCATATCACAGAAGCACAGCAAGAAATTCTCGTAAAATGTCAGATCCGGCACTGATCGGTGATCGGGTGACGCTGAGGATCCCCTTTGCAAAGCGAACCCCCAAGCTTATTTCACCAAAACAATGTCGCATTCATCCTGCTGCAAACACATCTGATGAGGACTGCCGCGGCAACAGAGAGAGCTCATGCGCAACGATACACATAGCACAGACATTGGACGAACACATTCTGGCACTCCTCGTAAAGTACCAGCTGCGGATAGTTCCCCAATGAAATTTCAAACAACTCACTGAGTGAACCACTGCCCAGCGCACCGACTGCCGCTGAGAAGATGCGTTTTCTGCACGGCTCCCCTACAACTTTTCGTCGCTAACGGTACTGTTTTTTGCGGCAAATGCCTCTAGCTAAAAGAATTGAGACTGGCCACCGTGGATGTCAGAAATTACTACAGTGACTCCCAAACCTTACTCAAAAAATTCAACACTTTAGGTGCTCTGGTTGTGGAGTTACGTCAGACTTAACGTACTCGTACGTGAGGAAAAAAGTGAATGCTGTTTCCAGGTGCACTTGCTCAAACACGAACCTGAGCCACGCTCAGAAAATTTTAACACTCCAGTTGCCCTGGTTGCGGAGTTATGCCAAATTTCACATGTTTGTATGTGAAGGGAAACATGAAAGTTACTTTTTTTGTCGCTCGAATACGGTCGTGGGCCGCTCCCCCGGAATTTTAGCGCTCTAGCTGCTCGGCTACGATGCTGCGTCAAATTTCACGTGCTTTCACATGGGGGCGAAGTGGATGCTTTTCTGACATGCATTTGCCCAAATACGGTCCTAGGCTATGTTTCAAAAATTTCGACACCCCAGCTGTTCCGGTTGTGGAACTACGTCAAATTTCACGTATTCGTACGTGACCCTGTCGTGACTTGGCTGAAGCGAAAGGAGGGCAACTATTGCAGCCTGCCTGAAACAGGATGAGATGCAGAGGGGAGCGTTCCCCTTGCTGGAGAGAGGGTCCCGAAGTCGCCGCCACAGCAACCGACCAGCAGCTGAACTGCTCGTTCAGCGAAGGCAGCACACCAACATCGTACGTGCCGTGCGGAGTGCACCAGTGCGTGCGACGCATGAGTGGCAGCAGCACGCACACCCACCTCCAGACCTCACGAGAGCCCGATGGGGAGCGCAAACCGGCCCCGAGGCAGTCAACGGGCCTCATATGACACCCACATCTCTCAGCACTACGAAAGCAAGAAGTGTAAGACAAGCCTAGCCCAGCAACGCCTGGTGCTTGCCAACACACCGATAGCGCCGGCAGCGCGGTTTGAAGCAATTACTAAAACTCGGCTCGGCTCGGCTCGGTCGGCGTTGCACACAATTTGCGAAAAAATCTTTTCAGTCGATAAGGCGTGCCGTTAGTCTACCGTGATGCAGGACGTTGAATAGCACAGACAGGGTGCGGATGAGAGGGAGATTCTGTGTGCGGGTTTTGAGCGCGGGAGTTCGAGGCAGGGAGAGGGGATTGGCTGGGTAGATTGAGTGGTTGCATGGTGTGAGTCCTTTGACAATTAACTAGGCCAGAGGAGTGGAATGATGGATGAAAAAGAGGAAGTGTGCTCGGTTTTTGCCGCGAATATCCGGGGTAGGAAAAGGGCTGAAATACTGCTCGCTTGCACAGTGCTGTTATGGTGGGGATGAAGAAGACAAACGAGGAGACAAGTCAGGAACTCGAGGGAAAAACTGCAGACAGCACTAAAAAGAAAGAGAAGACAAAGTACTATAAAAAAAAGCAAATTAAACCGAAACCTGAATAAAATCAAAATTAAAAAAAAAAAATGTGGACCCATGAGTAAAAGTAAAAAAATAAATAGCAACGCGCACCAGACTAGCTGGTGCGGTCATGCGTTTTGTGCAATTCAACCCATCGAACGATTGCCTATTAACGATTTTCACTGCTTTGTACTTTCGTCTATGCAAAAGTAGTTCAAACATTGGAAAATAATTAAAAATTTCACGCACCTGCGCATGAAAGCTGAATTCGAAACCTTGAAAGGTGAATATCTTTCCGTGAGTCTCGAGTTAATGGTTTAACCGCCAAAATTCTCACGAGGCCGGTGACACTCAACAGAGAGGGAACGTTGAATTTGAATAGGCAAGGTTGAGTGTGGGCAGGGGGTTATTACTCTAAAATTTCAGCCTCCTAGACTCCGTCATTCCTGAGATATTAATTTACCCGTAAAAAAATTTTACGGGGCCGTACGTGTTACCTGCGGATAAGGGAAGACTGGATTTAAATTTGCCGCGTCGCCCGTTGGCGGGGAACACTATACCAAAATTTCAGTTGCCTAGCTTTTGTGGTTCCCGAGTTGAAAGTGCGGGACAAAGTGTGGGACACACACCCAAACACATACACACACATACACACAAACACACACAGACAATCCCGTGACAATATGCGTTTTGTACTGTTACAAAGCACAAAACGCATAAAAAAAGTAAAAGCAAAGGATCGAGTGGAAATTGTCTTAAAAAAACCCGTGTTCAGTAGGGGACATCCCCTTTATAAGGCTGATGCTTAGGCAAAGCTGACAGCGAATAAGGTAAAGCTGCGTAAGTGAAGCCGATAGCTCTCAGCTTTACCTAAGCATCAACTTCATAAATAGAGAAGCTCAATACTGCAGACGGGCTTGTATAATTTCCACTCATAAGTTTTCCCTTTCGCTAAATTTCTTGTTTGCTTTTTGATTTTGCTTTCTCAGCTTTATTTGCTCTTGCTTTTTTTTGGCTTTTATTCACAGATCCCGATTCTTCGGTTTCGCTTTTTTCCTTTTTATGCGTTTTTTGCTGTGTAACAGCAGTGCAAAACGCATATTGTCACGGGGTTGCCTGTGTGTGTGTCCGCAGCAACTTGTCCGCAACTTTCAACTCGGGGAACCACAAAAGCTAGGAAGCTGAAAATTTAGGGGAACGTTCCCCACCCACGTGTGAGGCTGAAATTTTAGGATAATGACCCACTGCACACGCTCAACCTTGCCCATTCAAATTCAGCTTTCCCGTACCCGCGTGTAACACGTACGGCCCCATGAAATTTTTTTACGGGTAAATTATTATCTCGGGAACCGCGGGACTTAGGAAACTGAAGTTTTAGGGTAATAACTCCCTGCTCACGCTCAACCTTGCCCATTCAAGTTCAGCGTTCCCGCGTTCTTGAGTATCACCTACGGCCTCGTGAAAATTTTGGCGGGTAAATTGTTAACTCAGGAATTATGGAAAGATATTCATCCTTCAAGGTTTCAAATTGAGCTTCCATACGCTGGTGCGTGAAATTTTTAGTTGTTTTCCATTATCTGAACAAGCAGTGAAAATCATTAATAGGCAATCGTTCGATGGGCTGAATTGCACAAAACGCATGATCGCAC